TGAGAGGGGGGAGGGTCAGAGGGAGAAGCAGACTCCCTGCCGAGCAGGGAGCCCAATGCGGGACTCGATCCAGGAACTCCAGGATCATGACCTGAGCTGAAGGCAGTCGCTTAACCAACTGAGCCACCCAGGCGCCCCTTTTCATTCAATCCTTAACCTCTCTTTTATCTGTCCCATCTCTTTGTCTTTTTGTGCTGCATTTTAAGAAATCTCTTCAGATCTTCCTTCTGGATCAATGCTTTCCAACTAATCTGTTCTGTTCTTTCACCTACATTTAAGAGTTCTTTTTTCAAAGACTTTTTTTTCACTTCTAGAAATTCTACTTGATTCTTTTTCAAATCTGCCTAGACAGTCTCCCATTATGTACTCATGGTTTTGATTCCTTATTGTTTAATTATATTAAACATATTCCCAAGAATGACATGAAGTCCTTGAAAGTCTCATTCTACTGTCTGACATTTCTGTGAACTCTTGTTCACATGTCCTTTTTTTTTTTAAAGATATTATTTATTTATTTGAGAGAGAGAATGAGATAGAGAGAGCATGAGGGGTGGAGGGTCAGAGGGAGAAGCAGACTCCCCGCTGAGCAGGGGATCGACCCCGATGCGGGACTCGATCCGGGGACTCCAGGATCATGACCTGAGCCGAAGGCAGTCGCTTAACCAACTGAGCCACCCAGGCGCCCTTGTTCACATGTCCTTATACATTTTGTTATTTTGCATTGAGAGCTCAAATTCCATGGGCCGCTTCATGTGGGAAACTTGTGTGACCTGGCTAGAAAGTATATTCCTCTGGAGAAATTTCAAGTTTGCTTTCTAATAGTATCTAATGATGTCCCATACAATATTTGGGTGCTCTGGTTTGGTGTTTCTCAATATTTAGAACATACTTATTTAAAAAAAAAGATTAGTTATCTGACATTCAGATTTATCTGGATTCTTATATTTTATCTGTCAATGCTGCTGGTGTGAAGCCAAAGTCTTGTCTTTGTTGTTAAAACTTCAGCATCTTACTTATCAAGATGGGCACACAAAACAAAACAGAACAGAATACCAATGGAAAAATCCCCTCCATCTCATCATTCTGGCTTCCATTTTTTTCTTGGTTTTGATTTCCTCTTGGTTTTTGGCCCTTGGGTTTTCTCTTACTTTCAAAGGGAAGTCTCAGGATTGGTCTTTTTGGAAACAAAAGACTAAAAACCGCACAGGCCACTTCTGCTTCTTGAATTCCCACATACCTCTCCTAAGGCAACCAGAAAGATCTAGTGACCCAGTGGAATGGAAAGAGGGCAAAATATAAAGGAACAAAATATAAACTGCTATTTCAGCATATGATTCATCTACACAGGTGAAGGGTTTGTCTAGAGCTATTGATTGTGTGAAGTCATTATTGGGCTAATTGAAAAAGACTCCTTTCTTCTCGTTGTACTACAGCAAAGCCTTCTTGGCAAGCTCAACAGGAGCCAAGGGACCCACCCCATGGAGAGACGCTGGGTGATGGAGGCAGCCAATGGCTGCAAGGATGGCTTGGACTTCAACCCCATGAAAGAGTACATGGTCCTGAACAATTCCCAAAGGATAGCTGTTGCTGTGCTGTGTACCTCCCTTGCCCTGCTAAGTGCCCTGGAGAATCTGGCTGTGCTCTACCTGATCCTGTTCTCCCACCGGCTCCGCAGGAAGCCCTCATACCTGTTCATTAGCAGCTTGGCTGTGGCTGACTTCCTGGCCAGTGTGATCTTTGCTTGCAACTTTGTGAATTTCCACGTCTTCCATGGCATGGATTCCAAGGCTGTCTTCCTGCTGAAGATTGGCAGTGTGACCATGACCTTCACAGCCTCTGTAGGCAGTCTACTGCTGACCGCCATTGACCGCTACCTCTGTCTGTGCTACCCACCTACATACAAAGCCCTACTCACCCGGGGGAGGGCACTGGCAACTCTGGGGATCATGTGGGTCCTCTCAGCATTGGTCTCCTACCTGCCCCTTATGGGATGGACTTGCTGTCCTAGTCCCTGCTCTGAGCTTTTCCCCCTGATCCCCAATGACTATCTCCTGGGCTGGCTCCTGTTCATTGCCTTCCTCTTCTCTGGCATCATCTACACTTATGGGCATGTCCTCTGGAAGGCCCATCAGCATGTAGCCAGCTTGGCTGAACACCAGGACAGGCAGGTGCCAGGAATGGCACGAATGAGGCTTGATGTGAGGTTGGCCAAGACCCTGGGGGTGGTGCTGGCTGTGCTTCTCATATGCTGGCTCCCGGCACTGGCCCTCATGGTCTACAGCCTGACCACCACCCTAAGCGACCAGGTCAAGAAGGTCTTCGCCTTCTTCTCCTTGCTCTGCCTTGTCAACTCCATGGTCAACCCCATCATCTATGCCCTGCGGAGTGGGGAGATCCGCTCCTCTGCCCATCACTGGCTGGCCCACTGGAGGAAACATCTGAGAAGACTCGGACTTGAAGGAAACAAAGAAGTCCCAAGGTCCTCAGTCACTGAGACAGAGGCTGATGTGAAAATCACCCCATGGCCAGATTCCAGAGGACTAAACTTTTCTGAATGCTGATGAGTCCTCTTTCACAGTTTTAAACAAACTGAGTCAGAACCATTTTGCTCCCTGGAGGAGAGAGAGCAGCCTTGATCCTATTGTCTTATTTGAGCCAGGCCCCAGGGCTTGGACACTTACCCCTTTTCACTGATGACTGATGGCAATGACCCTGGCAGGTAGCCTGGCCGTGCCTATTTGCACGCAGACTGTTGGATAGCTAGGCCCTGTGAGGAGTGGTGCTCAAGCGAGAGGCTTGAGCAGGCTCAGTGCACGTTTGGGTTAGGAGAACCTCCCCAGCAAGATGGCTTAGTGCTTGCATCCTCCAGAGACCACAGGAGCCAGATGGAGCCTTCAGGCTCAGCAATGAGAGACTCAGAGGAAATCTGAGATGAATGGATTATTTTCCTGGCATCTCAAGATATCAGATGGGATGGCTGGCCAACCCCGTTCTTGCTTGATTGTTGGGATCTCCTTGGCTCTAAGGCAATGAAAGACCCCATTTTCTGGTCACCTTTTCCTACTGAGGATCAAAAACTTTGATACAATAAGGATCAAGAGTGTTGATCCACTTCTTTCACAGCTAATTGACAAGCCTCTAGTTCAGGGAATCTTGTTATTAGGGCAATGGCCCCACTTGACATTCTGATAATCTCCATTCACAGCCGCGGTGACCTCCTAGGTTCCTGGGGAATACAGGGGAGGCTGGGACTGGTTGAGACACAGAATTTTCAGAGAATTTTGTGGACCCTCTGAAGTCCTTCCACTGGAAGCAGGCAATGGCCCAGTCTAACTCCAAGAAAAAGGAAGACATTCACTAAGATTTCATAAACCCCCATATTGTTCCCAGTTGCCCCTCAGTTCAGCTCCTTTGTCTCTTCCACACCCATATAACAAAAAATAAACAGAGCAAGTGGGAGGAGGGGGAAATTCCCTTACTACGTGCCAGGCATGGGACTGACATCCCACAGTCCATTATCTCCAGCAAGAACATAGCCCCATGCTTTTGAAGATTCCAGGACATCCATATTTTACTTATCAGGGAAGGTAGGTTCCTACCAAAGCAGCTTACTTAAAACAATAGGCTAGAGAAATTGTTGGTGCAGAGGATAACAGGAATTCTAATGAAATTTGTGGGACCATAGACAGAATAAAAGGAAAGATATTGATTAAACAGGAATATTAAAAATATTCACTTACTATTTACAAGACAAGGTGTCCACTATTTATTCACTAATGCACCCCTCTCATAAATACGTGCCAGGCTTTGTGCTAGGTCCTGGTTGTGCAGCCATAAACAAGACTCTGCCCCTGTCTAATGGGGCTTACATTCTACATTCAGGTGGGAAGACAGCCACTAAAGAAGATAATTCCTGGTGGTACAATGAAGGAAATCATCAAGGTCATGTGATAGGGATTCACTGAGGCAACTTTAGGTAGGGTACCTACTATGTGCTCTGGTCGTAAATGCCACAGCTGGCTTTTATAGAATCTTTACTATGTGCCACACACTGGGATAAGTGCTTTCAAATGAAGTATTTTACTTAGTCTCCACAATAACCTGACCACAAGGGTCCTGGTACCCTCATTTTATGGATAAGGAAACATTTAAGAGGCAAAATCACTTGTCTGAGATCACACTGCCGATATGTACCCAAAGCTGGGGTTTCCACAGCCTGCCGCCTTTACCATTAACCTCCTGGCCTAGTTCAGCCAAATGCTGCTTGATTAGGAATAATACTTGATTTCTATAACATCAGATTGCTGCAATCTTAACTCACCATTATTTCTCAACCTACTTCATTTTATGTCCTGCTCAGTTGGTGGAACATGCCACTCTTGATCTCAGGGTTGTGAGTTCAAGCCCCACGTTGGGTGGAGAGATTACTTAAAAATAGAAATCTTTAAAAAAACATTTTTCCACCAAGTGGCCTAAAACAACAGAAACTTATTCTTTCATGGAAGCTTCTGGAAGCTAGAAGTCCAAAATCAAGGCATGACCAGGGGCATGCTCCCTGCAAAGGTTCAAGGAGAGTATCCTTCTTTGCTTCTTCCAACTTTTGGCAGCTCCTGAAGTTCTTTGGCTTGTGGCAAGATAACTCCAATCTCTACCTCCATCTTCATAGGACACTCCTCTCCCCACCTTATCTCTTGGTGTCCTTTTTTAAGGATGTCAATCATTGGATTAAGGCACATTCTAATCCAGTATGACCTCATCCTAATTTAACAAATTACATCTATAAAGACTATTTCCAAATAAGGAAACATTCACTGGTTCTGAGTGTACATGAAATTTGAGGGGGACATTATTCAACTCAGTACAGCCCCCCAAGGACAAAGTCAACTACTCAATTACAGCCCATATCATGGACTGTGTTAAGTGGCAGTCACTTGCTAGTCTTTCCCCATGAGATGAGCTCCACGTTCTTCTCTTGGTCCCCAGTGCTCCTTGACAATCCAGCATAGAGCCTTTTTTTTCTTCAAAATTTTTATTTAAATTCTAGTTAGTTAGCAGATAGTGTAATATTGTTTTCAGGAGTAGAATTTAGTGATTCATCACTTACATGTAACACCCAGTGTTCAACATGACAAGCGCCTTCCTTAATACCCACCACCCTTTTAGCCCATCCCCCACCCACATCCCTCCATCAGCCCTCAGTTTGTTCTCTTTTGTTAAGAGTCTCTTATGGTTTGCTTCCCTCTCACTTTTTTTTCCCCTTCCCATATGTTCATCTGTTTTGTTTCCTAAATTCCACATATGAGTGAAATCATACCGTATTTGTCTTTCTCTGACTGAATTATTTTGCTTAGCATAATACACCCTAGCTCCATCCATGTCATTGCAAATGGCAAGATTTCATTCTTTTTGATGATTGAGTAATATTTCATTATATATATCCCACATCTTTATCCATTCATCAGTCGATGGACACTTGGGCTTTTTCCATAATTTGGCTATTGTTGATAATAGCATAGAGTCTTTTTTTAATATTTTTTT